AATGGCTTTTATGTTTCATTTGCAGCAGGGAGGAACTTAAGTGACCTAGAATTTTTTACCTTTAAATTTTTTCCAGTATAGAAACAAACTTGTAGTACATTCTGTATTGTTTGGGGAGAGGAATGTTTCACTTTTTCTCTGTTTTATAAACACTTTAAGTTCTGCATTGGTGATAAAATGAATAATAGTGGTAAAAATGAAAGCTATATAACTAATTGTTTGTGATACACATAATGAGCAAAATGAGCTCTGGGAATTCCATTCTGGTTACCAGGAAATCTCTGGTATGAGCAAGGACTTTTTATAATGTTATCAAGTATGTTGGGAATTGAAATATTTATATAGGTTGTATAGTTTTTAGAACTTAGAATGCCTTAGAGAAGAGTTAATTCTCTCTCTGAGATATTTGGTACTGTAGATAGACTATTGAAAATCTGATTTGTTCTGTTAGGTTCTCCCTTTAAGTTCCTGATTTAATTCAGTTAACCGAGAAATGTAATTTTTATTTCTTCTTTATTTCACTCCTTCAGTAACCATTTATTGACTGTCAGCTGTGAGAGTCTTCTGGCTAAAGCAAGTGTCTTTGTAGCAGGACGAGCCACAGACAAAACTCCTCAGACACTGAGTTAAAGAAGGAAGGGGTTTATTCGGCCGGGGGCATTGGCAAGACTTCTGTCTCAAGAGCCGAGCTCCCCGAGTGGGCAATTCCTGTCCCATTTAAGGGCTCACAACTCTAAGGGGGTGCGTGTGAGAGGGTCGTGATTGATTGAGCAAGCAGCGGGTATGTGACTGGGGGCTGCATGCACCAGTAATTAGATCGCAACAAAACAAGATAGGGATTTTCACAGTGCTTTTCTATACAATGTCTGTAATCTATAGATAACATAACCCATTAGGTCAGGGGTCGATCTTTAACTACCAGGTCCAGGGTATGGCGCCGGGCTGTCTGCCTGTGGATTTCATTTCTGCCTTTTAGTTTTTACTTCTTCTGTCTTTGGAGGCAGAAACTGGGCATAAGACAATATGAGGGGTGGTCTCCTCCCTTATCTTCACCCCTGGATTACTGATATTTTGGGCTAAATCATTCTTGTTTATGGGGCGGGGTGGTCGGGGGAGACTGTTTGTGCATTATGTTTAGCAGCATCCTTGATGCCAGTAACATTACCCCACTACCCCACTGTGACAACCGAAAATGTCTCCAGACAGTGTCATGTGTTCCCTGGGGAGCAAATTCATCACCCCAGTCCAGAAGCATTGGTGATAATGGGAAGGAGCAGATGGGAGTTGGAGGTGGGGGTGGGAAGGAGGCAAGAGAAGTGGCACTTGGGGTGGGAGACATGAATGTATTTGAGAGACATTACGAAAAAAGAATAGAGAAGTCTTAGTGACTGGTAAATTATAGGGACTGGGGAAGAGGGAGGAGTAAGCAACAACACTGGTTTGGGAAACTAGAGGGACTGTGGTGCTCTTACTCAAAAACAAAGGAGGAACAGATATGAAAGAGAAGATGAGTTCAGTTGTAGAGACATTGGATTTGACTGGGGGCATGGTGTTCTCTAGGATGTAGGTTCAGGAGCCGAGTGTGTAGGAGTGAAGTCAGTACTGAGAGGTGGATCTTGGAAGGCAAAAGATTAGTAATTGACACTAGGGCAGAAAAGTGTCATTCACCTGCTAGAGAAAAGAATGAGTTGGGTAATTAAGATGCAAACTAATTATTCTGTTAGAGATTCTAAAGCATTCCACCAAGGTTAAGCAGAAATAAAAACTAACAAAACAAAGCAAAACACCAAGTATCAAAAACATTTCAGTATATCTTTCAGTCAATTAAGAGGGTGAGGGAGGAGGAAGAGAGCTGAAAGAAGAGAGAAAAGGAAATGAAATGGAATTCTGACAGACAGGTAACTGTGAAGGAGAGGAAGATTCGTTTAGTATTTATTAATTGCCATCAACCATGACATAATTTAATTTTTAAAAATCTGGGAAATGCATGTATTATTGTAACCCACTTTCTTTTCCAACATTTGAACATGAAAAGTTTCAAACAAGACAGGTGTAGTGGCTCATGCCTATAATCCTAGCACTTTGGGAGGCCAAGGCAGGAGGATCTCCTGAGCCCAGGAGTTTGAGCCCAGCCTGGGCAACAAAGGGAAACCTCATCTCCACACAAAAAAATTGAAAAATTAGCTGGGTATGGTGGTGAATGCGTGTAGTCCTGGCTATTCAGGAGGCTGAGGTGGGAGGATCACTTGAGCCCAGGAGTTCCAGGCTGCAGTGAGCTATGATCATATTACAGCAGTCTGTGACAGAATGAGAGCATCTCAAAAAAAGAGAGAGAAGTTTCAAACATACAGTAAAGTTGAAGGAAGTTCCCAGTGAACACCCATATATCTACCACGTAAATTTTATAATTAACATTTTATTATATTTGTTTTATCACATATCTGTCCATGCATCCATTCAAGTGTCTTATTTTTTGATGCATTTTAGAGTAAGTTGCCAAAATCAGTACACTTAAGCCAACTACATCAGCATACGTATTCTCAGCTAGAGTTCAATATTTGTTTAGAGTTTTCTAACCTACTATTACTAATTTAATTTTTAAAGCCCATATCCAATTTCCTTTGTGGGAAAATGAGTAGTACTTTATTTTATTTTATAAAAATAGTTTTTGTGACCATTTTGGAATGCTAACACTGAAGACTTTTATTGACAATTACACTAGAATTACTCTAGATACATGAATATATAGGCTGGTCACACTTGCCGTTTCTCGTCTGTATCCTGCTACCAGGATGTGGCCAGGCATGAGGTAAAATCTCTAATTATCTGTTAAATCTAGTTTTGCAACCACAGATATGATATTCTTGCCTGATCAAATGGAATTAAGGTTAGGCCATGTTTCAGGCATCTTTAGGAATACTAAATAGCTATTAAATAACAAGAACCCTTTGGCAAAGCTTTGTGGTTTGCCTTTATGATTTCCTTACCAGTCTCCCCCAAGAGTAAACTATGCAGCGTTGTTTGTTATAAAAAAACATTGTGGTCTAAATTTGCAGGTTCCAGCATTGTTTCTGCTGCTATGTGACCTTGGACAAATCTCTTAGCCTCTCTGAGCCTGAGCTCATGCTTTAATTATCCTTGGGTTAAGAGCACCTATGTGTATTTGATAATCACACTTGTGAGTTTCAAATGAGCCTTTGAATGCAATAGAGATTTGGCAGCTGTGACCTGCTGCACAACTGTCACTGTGAAAAAAATAATCAATTCTTTCCCTCCCTCCTTCTTTCCCTTCTTTTGTCTTCTGAACTTCTGGAATATAGCACAGAAGAAAATAATAAGGAAATCAATAGTTCAGAATCAAAGACGTTCTGCTAAAGAAAGAGCAAAAATCAAGATTCAAAGTACCTCAGCACTCAAAGAAGCAGAAAATTCTAATAGCTGCAGGCAAATTGTGCCCTCAGAGGAGCCTAGATTCTAGAAGAAAGGAGAGAGCAGTCTTGTGAAAGAGGTGAAACAAAGGCTTTTCATGTACTCCGGAATTGCTTGGAGACTGGGATATAACCCTGGCAAAGTTATTAAAGTTGATTTCTCTAAAGCATTTACTTGAAAGGGCCACCTAAGGATAACTGGCTAACTGCCCTTAAATTACATTTATTTTAAAAAACATAGTTTGAAAAAGGATAGTAATCAAAGACTGACAAGACCAATCTTTTTTTTTTTAAAAAAAATTTAAAAGCCTCGTTCATAATATGCAAGGGAAGGCTACACATTTGCTTGTTACATTTAAGTTGGACAATATAATATATAGCCTTTCTCCCTCCTCTGGGTTACTTTGAAAATATTAATAAGTTGGATATCTATTCCATATTTTCAAGGTGGTTATCAATGAACTTTTGCTTAAATACTTGTAAAACTTACTAATGCCACTTTAATCTCAGTTTACTGCTTAAAGCTTCTTTAGATATCCATATTTTTTTAATAAAACAATTCTTACAAAATAGGTAATAAATAATGGAAATAATGACAAAATGTTCAATGAGGAAAAATGTTTATCCCAATATTGTGGCCAGAATGTTAAGAAACTTTTACAGAACAAAGTCTGCCTGGAAGGGTTTGCTTGGGAAAGTGGTAGTTTATAGCATAACATCTGATTTTGTGTGTTTGTGCCAAGGGTGTTTCCCTTCTGTCTTTTTCCTTTTTATAGGCAGCTACAATAGTGACATGTTTAATATTGATGAGTTTGACCTCCTGGGAGTTATCGTATATGTACCCTTTTTGAATACAAATGCTGTTTAATTTATATGGTAAACACATAGAATTTGGAGATTAGCATTTTAATCAACTCTAATCTCAGTATTTTCTACTTCTCCTACCTCTTTCTTCTGTCAAAAAAAAAAAAAAAAAATTATAACCCAACTTTAGAAATGACAGCTAATGTCCTCTCCTGGAGAAGCAGGGTCTGTGTGTGAAACATAAAAGCAGTACCATGCGCAGTAACCTTTCCTGAACCATATGCTCACGCGCATCAACAGTGTTCAACGAGATGATCAATTATTCAAGAAACAGAACAATCCATTCATTCAACAAATATTTATTGAACAGCCATGCAGAAACAGACAGGGGGTTGTGTATGTGGCCGTGACCCGATGGCACCTCTAAACTGGAACTGGGCTTCAGTTTTTCCCCATGTAAAAATTTCTTCTTTTTTGTTTAACTTTTCTCGTGGCAGGTCCAGTAGCTTTGAAGATCAGAGTGCATCTTCCAGCTGACGATCTCTTCGGTCGGGGACAATGCATGCGATTCGCACGGTGGAGATTAAAGTCCCCGAGATAGAGGAAACGTTTTTCGCGCCCAGGTTCAGCAAGGAGCCGCGCGGGGGCCGAGGGGGCGGCGGCGGCGGGCGGGGAGCCAGGCCCGAGCTGCGTTCTGCGCAGCCATTGGCGGGCGCTGAGCTGTGCACTGAGCATGTTCGCGCCCCGCCGGCCCCGAGCCGCAGCCGCAGCCGCAGCGACAGCAGCCACGGGAGCCGCCGCGCATTATGCAAAGCGGCCGCAGATGCGAGCGGGGCCAGCCGGGCGCGCGTCGGCCTCTCCTCCCAGCGGCTCGCCCAGCCGCCGCCTGACTCTCCCGGGAGACTCCCTCGGCCCGGGCCCGGGGCCGAGGAGGGCCGGGATGGCCTGAGTGCCCGCGTCGCGGCGGCGCAGCAGCGGGATTGCACCATGGGGAACCAGGATGGGAAGCTGAAGAGGAGCGCAGGTGATGCCTTGCACGAAGGCGGCGGCGGCGGCGGCACCGAGGATGCGCTGGGGCCCAGGGATGTGGAAACCACAAAGAAGGGGAGCGGGGGTAAGAAGGCGCTGGGCAAGCACGGCAAGGGGGGAGGGGGCGGCGGCGGGGAGTCGGGCAAGAAGAAGAGCAAGTCGGACTCCAGAGCCTCGGTGTTTTCCAACCTGCGGATCAGGAAGAATCTGTCCAAGGGGAAAGGCGCCGGCGGCTCCCGCGAAGATGTGCTGGATTCCCAGGCCCTGCAGACGGGGGAGCTGGACAGCGCTCACTCCCTGCTCACCAAGACTCCGGACCTCAGCCTCTCGGCGGACGAGACCGGCCTATCGGATACTGAGTGTGCGGACCCTTTTGAGGTGACCCGTCCAGGGGGTCCTGGGCCTGCCGAGGCTAGGGTCAGGGGCCGGCCGGTCACCGAGGATGTGGAAACTGCAGCAGGGGCGCAAGATGGACAGAGGACCAGCTCGGGCTCGGACACGGACATCTATAGCTTCCACTCGGCTACGGAGCAAGAGGATTTGCTTTCAGACATCCAGCAGGCGATCCGCCTGCAGCAGCAGCAGCAGCAGCAGCTCCAGCTCCAGCTCCAGCAACAGCAGCAGCAGCAGCAGCAGCTCCAGGGCGCCGAGGAGCCTGCAGCGCCCCCCACCGCCGTCTCCCCTCAGCCCGGGGCCTTCCTGGGCCTGGACCGGTTCCTGCTGGGGCCGAGCGGCGGGGCTGGGGAGGCCCGGGGCAGTCCAGACACTGAGCAGGCGCTGTCCGCGCTCTCCGACCTGCCCGAGAGCCTGGCCGCCGAGCCCCGGGAGCCCCAGCAACCGCCGTCCCCCGGCGGCCTCCCAGCCTCCGAGGCACCCAGCCTCCCGGCGGCCCAACCCGCGGTCACAGACTCGCCGTCCTCCACGGCTTTCCCGTTTCCCGAGACCGGGCCGGGGGAGGAAGCGGCCGGAGCCCCCGTGCTAGGGGCTGGGGACACGGATGAGGAGGGCGAGGAGGATGCTTTTGAGGATGCACCCCGGGGCTCTCCGGGGGAGGAGTGGGCCCCGGAGGTGGGAGAGGACGCCCCGCAGAGGCTGAAGGAAGAGACGGAGGAGGAAGCGCAAGGACCTGACTCCCCCGCGGCCGCTTCCCTGCCCGGCAGCCCTGCGCCCAGCCAGCGCTGTTTCAAGCCCTACCCGCTCATCACCCCCTGCTACATCAAGACCACCACCCGGCAGCTCAGCTCGCCCAATCACTCCCCGTCTCAGTCCCCTAATCAGAGCCCCAGGATCAAGAGGCGGCCGGAGCCCTCCTTGAGCCGAGGGTCCAGAACTGCCTTGGCCTCCGTAGCCGCCCCGGCCAAGAAGCACCGGGCCGACGGCGGCCTTGCGGGCGGCCTGAGCCGCTCGGCGTACTGGACGGAGGAGCTGGGCGCCCGCACGCCCCGGGCGGGAGGCTCCGCGCACCTGCTGGAGCGCGGGGTGGCCGCTGACAGCGGCGGTGGGGTGTCCCCGGCACTGGCCGCCAAGGCGTCTGGGGCGCCAGCGGCTGCGGATGGCTTCCAGAACGTGTTCACAGGTGAGCGCGCCCTGCTGCTGGCCTCCGGGTCGCAAGTCGCCTGCCAATCAGGGCCTTCCCCTGCCACTCGCCCTCCCTGGACTCTGGAAGGCGGTGACCTGGTAGTGGCGTGTCTCTTCTCCGTAGGGAATCCTTTTCGGTCCACCGAGCTCGCCCCCCCCCCGGTGAAATGCCTCGGACATACTTGTTGGTTTTCTGTGTTCTTACAAGATCTTAAAGGGAACAACTTAGTTGTGTCTGTTCTAAGTCATCTCAAAAAAGGTTGCTCTGCCCATTTCACCGAAATATCTGCTCTTCACAATGTGTAGGGTCACGCCAGGGAGATAAACTCCTTTTTCGTCTTGTTAGCTAAACCATCATTCTTCTCTTTCATTTCTCATCACCACAGCATTACAAAGAAAAAAATTGTTCATGGTTCTTTCGCAACAGTCGGTTTTGGAGGCACAAATCATTTATTCAAGTACGATCCAAACGCAATCTCTGACCGCTCTAGTATCTGTGTATTTGTACACGTTTGGTATGTATGTAATATGTAGTTTCTATCTTGCAGCAATCTGGGTTCCGCTACTTAGTGAAGTTAAGCCGTCACTCACTCCTGTTTGCTGCTGCAAGAAAATCCGATACATGCTATTAGAAAATTAATAAATAGAATAGTAGGGATCATTTTCATTTAGTTTCATGGTCCAACCCAGAACAGCCTGTAGTTTGGAGATAGTGAAGGTGAGAAGGTCAGAAGCACATCTAGTTCAACTGGTACCTCCCCTCCCTAGCATATGTTATAGACTCACACCCAGGGTGACATAAAGCACAGCCAGAGTGTGTTTGCTGTGGTCAATGTCAAGCAGTCTAATGAGTTTATCCTAGCTCAGGCTTACAGGACCCAAGGCCTTACCTTAAGAGCCCGACGTGTTTACCTAACCTCTATTATTGATTATTAAATGAAATAGAGTGTTAGAATTTAATGAATGGAAAAATATGAAAAGTCACATGACTACTGATAGGTTTATGATAAATATCTGAAGGATTAAACATTTCAAATGCAATCTGAAAATTTTAAAATCTTATGTTCTGTTATTTTAAACATTTATGTGTAAAACATCACTTAGATGAAATTTGTCAGCACAGACAGCGACTTCTTGGCTGACTAAATGCTGGTAATGTTGGGGTAGCTACTTATTGACCACATTTTAATTTACATCTGTGGGCTACCTTTTATTTTGCCTTTATAGGGTCTTACCCTTAAAAGTAGCTGCTTCTATTCATTTCACATACTCTTATTTTTCTTCTTTTCTACCTTCTCTTTATTGTGTAGATTGTTAAAAAGAATGTTTGTAGTTTTATACCCACTAGATAAATTGTAAAAAAAACCCCAACAAATTGAAAAAAGATCACTTTTGATAAAAGAAAATTGGAAAGTTTTTGCATTAATTTTCATGAATTTAATGTTGGTGAGGCATCACATATTTTCTCTTTATCTAAGTGACATTCACGTATATCGTTTTCGAAAAGTGAAAATAATTCACCATAATGATTATCAATCATTAATATTAATGATAGTTATTCCTAGTAGCATAAGACTTTGGAAATTTATTTATTTCATTCATTTAGCAAATATATATATATATGTATATACATTTGTGTGCATATATGTGCATACACACACATACGCACACACACCCATTGAGCAGCCGCGTTGTGCTATGCAGTATTCTAAATGGTAGCACACTGTGCTAGGCAGTATTCTAGATGTAGGTGATACATAGGCCATTAAATCATGATTTTGCCCTTCTAAGCCTCACTGACTAGTGAGGAGGAGACATGAAATAAGTGCAGTGCACAGAAATATCTGTATAGGTAGAGACATGCAAATCACTGCTGGGACATCACGGATGCAGTGGCTTACCTGCTTGGTGGCAAGGGGTGAGGGAAGAGGACTTGAGAGAGGAGGATTGAACAGAGTCCTGGAAGATCACAAGACCCTAAATAGGTTGAATGTTTGTTTTCCTTTTTAAAAAAAGTGTCTTCTTGGAACTCGCATTTTATTTTAATTTGCTAAGTATTCCCAAATTTGAAATCTGGGACTCTTAAAAGAGTCCTGTATAGGAACCACCTGGGTTTTGTTGACCTCTCCAGGCGATTTGTTTTTTAAATTGTGCAGAGTAGAAGTGCAGAGCTAGTCATTTTTATAAGGACTTCACCTATTTTGTATTTGATGGTTGGATACAGCTGGTTGGTAATCAGCAAATATCTTTTTGTGTAGCAGCTTCCATATATTTATCTCATTCACTCAGCATTGTTCAGGAAAAGAGGATCAGTAGGCTTTACCCAACTTCGTAACTGGTGGGGAAATGGAGATAGAGAAAGAGGTGAAATAACTTTCTCAAGGTCACACTGTGATTCATTCAGAGGCAGATCCAGAAATAGAAAGTGAGTCAATGATTCAAGTCTAATGTACTTATTCTTTCTGTTTGGATGTTCAATGTTTTAAGGCCATATAGAGAGTAAAAACTGTTTATAAAATATATGATCGGATTTAGGGCCTTTCTTTAGTTAGATTTTCCAGTTCCTGTTTTTAATAAGGTGTACTCCTTTAATGCTTGAACATCTGGCCTTCCTTGAGCTGGATGAAGGGTGATTGTTGGCTAGAGTGAACCAGATTTTCTCTAAGCAAGTCTCATGGAAACTGTTCTTATGGTGGTAGAATGAATCCAGATTGACACAGGCCCTTGTTTCTCAGCTGTCAGCTCTTCATGTCATCTGGCACTACGTTTGCTGCTTTACTCTCCTCCACTATTTTTTTATGGGTGTCTTGGAAATTACCGGCGTGGGGAACACTAGCATTGTCCTTAGGGAAATTTCTTCTTGGCCTTAATTTTACATGTATTTGGATCAATTAATTGCCAGCTGCCTTTGAAGCAGGTGAGCATTGTATCTATAAGCTTCCATAAGCATGTTTTATTTTTAAACCATAGAATGAGGATTGTCAGCGCTGCAGGAAAGAACAGATGTTTTTCGCTTTTTACTGCCTTCCAAATGTAGGGAGAAAATACACGTGAAAAGGGATTTCTGTGGCACATGTTTGTGTCTCTTTGGAGATCTAAGAACATTTAGCAATGAGGGAGACCAAACTTTATCTTGTTTTAGCTATTAAGAAACTGATGATGCCTTAGGCCATTGCATTTAAGTATTTCATAATAAATTTGTTTGAAATACATCTTTTTCAGTGTTTAGTAGAAAAAATGGCGTCTGAAATTCGGGAGGTTCCCTTACATATGAAGTATAACAGAAGCTTGGTACTAGAGTTTTGCAGTTAATTAAACTTTAGATATCTAACGTGTTAAATTTGTGATGCTAAATCACTTTTGATAGGAATCTTCCCCAAGTCAATTATGTGCTTATCTTTTTTTAAACACATGGAATAAAAGTTTAATCTGTTTTAAAGGGCTTAATGTCATCTTCAGGCACATCATTGTTACATCTTATAAAAACATTAGTGATGTCCTCAACAGCTATCAAAGTGTGTGGGCTGTTGGCCTCAGTCTGTAGTTTCTGAGGATTTTTTTGTCTGTGTAGTTTCTTGGTTGTTTTCTTGCTGCCAGATATTTATTGTTTTCGCTGCCTTTAGTCGCTTTGCTCCTGTCTCTCAATTTTTTTGTAATTGGACTTTTCTGATCAATTTGTAATTGGCTTACAATTCCTGTAATTATGATATTGGCTATACTTATTGTACTTCTAAGTGCCAGACTAAGTGCCAGACTCTGTTGGTGCATTACATAACTATCTCTAATCCTTACAATAGTCTTGAAGTATAGCTGTTTATCCTCATTTTTCCAATGAAAAAACCCAGGCTCAGACAGTAAAGTAACTTCTTGCCTAAGGGCATTAAGCTAGTAAGTGGCCCATCCAGGATATGTCCTTAGAAAACCAAATCTGTTGTTAATATGCATAAGATGAAACCAAGTAGATCAGTGAGCTTTTGGAGGACTAGCTAATTAATAAAGTGCATAGGCTCTAGAACTTGGATTGTACAACTCTGATTTTGGCCTTTCTGAAGGTTATGTTGTTTTTTTGTTTGTTTGTTGTTTTTTTTTGCGAAACAGAGTTTCACTCTTGTCACTGAGGCTGGAGTGAAGTGGCGCGATCTTGGCTCACTGCAACCTCCGCCCACTGGGTTCAAGCGATTCTCCTGCCTCAACTTCCCAAGTAGCTGGTATTATAGGCTCCCATGACCACACCCAGCTAATTTTTGTATTTTTTGTAGAGACAGGGTTTCACCATGTTGGCCAGGCTGGTCTTGAACTCCTGACCTCAGGTGAGCCACCTGCCTTGGCCTCCCCAAGTGCTAGGATTACAGGTGTGAAACACTGTGCCCGGCCTATCTCGATTTTTATATCAATAGAGGGAAGGACCCACTCTAGGAGTATGCCTTTTCTCATATGGCTTGGGAAATTGTTACACTGGATTGTTTTAAGGCCAGGAGTAGTTTGATTTCCAGCAAGAGCCCCTGACAGAGTATAGATGTCCAGTTAATGTCTGACAAATGAATGAAGGTCAGAATCTCCCTGATACGGATAAAATGGCTTATTATAAAAGGAAAGGGGTTTGTATGAATGCTATGCTTTCACCTAAATACTGCCTTACTGGGTTCCATATATCGGAGAAGAATTTGGCAACGTAAGCCGGGACCGGAACACTGATCTTCAATCATTTTAGATTGGTCTGAAACATCCTTTCTCATGGTTTCTTTGGGCCTGTGGTTTGGATTGAAGTCAAGTGCACCAGTAGCTTCAGTGATGGGTTTTAATGACTGCTTTATGAGTTGAGGACTGGCCTAGTTTTAAGTGCATTTAGGCATTTGTATCTAAGCCATGCGTATTTGAAATGGAACAGGTACTTTGAGTGCTTTTCCTTCTGGTTCTTGTGAAAAGATACAGAAAATATACAGTTGGATGAAGGTAGCAGTAGTTATTCTGACTACTTTCATTCTAGGTATATTTGCA